GAGTGTGGAAGCTGAAGGAATTGGGGGACTTGACGGGGCAGGAAGGAGGGCTTTAAAGGAAGTTGAAAATACAATTAGTAACATCTTCTACATTAATTTGGGTTTTGATTTTGAGCATGGGGCTTCGCATCTAGCCAGGGATGTGAATTTTAGATTTTGAATGGGCCCTTAAATGAAAGAATGGTGTCTGACAATTGGTTAGCATAAATGTCTTTCATTCTTTCTGGTCAAGATATTGCTTGCCTTAGACTCACACAACAAAAATATGAAATGTTGTCCCTCTTGTAACTGCTGCATCAATAGTACAGATGACCAGAGTAAAATAATTTTCTCAAAATCACTTCAATGTGTGACTGTAAGTATAGCAAATATTATAGTGATGTAGTAATTTTTGCTGCAGTCTAAGAGTTGGAAGAAGTATGCACACAATTCTAGTAGTCACTCGTCATATCTGGACATAATTTTGCTGTTGGAAGTAGGTCTTTATGTTTGAGTTTGTCATGACAGCAGTTCAGATTATGTGTTCCCAAAATAACTTCTCTTAATTTAACCTTGCCTGCTGTCTTAGATTACATGCCTTTACTGCAAAATAAGCATGTACTGGCTTAACACATGTGGAAAAACCCTATTACATAACCACACTTGTGTCATCCACAGTGGTGCCGCAGTAACTTGCATGCTGGTCTGAGTTTGTAGCAGTATGTCCCCTCACTCTTACTCGTTTGTTAAACTGAATGAATTTACTCACATTGTATTGTGGGAGGACTTGCTGATTTTTCCAGAGCTCCTTTGTGGAAGTGCTTAGTTTACCAATTCAGAAAAATTCAGTAAAGCTAACTGCTGGAAGAACACATAGGTTGATGTATTCCACATGTAATGAAAAGCAGAAAAACAAAGATGTAGAGTAAGCTACATGCTTTAGGGCATATGGGCAGTAGCTTGCCACCCTGAGGTCTTGATGAGGAGATCATGCAGGCTGTGTGCAAACCTGAAACGCTTAGGATGATATTTCCAGGCTATACCACGATTGGAATCACCTGTGATAAAAGGATACCTCCCTGGAGGGGTGCAAGGAACACGTGCTATCCCTTAAATGCCAGGACATGCAGATCACAGTATCATAGGAAAGTAGGGCTGGAAGGGATTCAGTGCAGTCATCTAATCCAGTCCCTTGCTCAAGGGAGGATCATCCCTGGCTAAATCATCCCTGTCAAGGGTCTGTCTAACCTGCTCTTAAAAGTTTCCAGAGATGGGAAATCCACAAGTAGTAAACTGTGAAAACTCTTCCTAATGTCTAACCTAAATTTCCTCTGCTGCAGTTTGAGGACCTTGCTCCTAGTTCTCTCCCTTTATGGCCACAGAGAATGGTGTATCTCTGTCTTCTTTAAAATTGCCCTTCTGATATTTGAATACTGTTATCAAATCCCCTCCCCTAAATTTCTTTTCCAAATTTAATAATCCAATTCCAGAGGTGGCCCACCTGCAGCATGTGTGCCACAAGTGGCATGGACAACCTGTGTGTGTGGCATGTGGCATATTGGGAAGGGGACAGGTAGGGGCAGAAAACAGAGCAGCAAACTTGGCACTCGGGGAGGGTGTAAGGCTGATTTGTGGTATGCCAGCCAAAAAGGTTGGTTTCCATTGTCCTTGTATTTTCGGCCTTTCCTCATAAGTCAGGTTTTTCAGGTCTGTAATTATTTTTGTTGCCCTCCCCTGGATCCCTTGACTGCTTCAGGTGAGCGGCTAATAAGCAGGGATTCTGGTTTTCT